TATCCTTAGTATAGCTAGCGTGGTTTAGAAGTTTCGTTATATTAAGATTCACCGTCTTCTTCCTAAAGGTATAGAGTAGTATTTAGGACTTGAATTTATTTAGTAAGGTGTCTTTTTCTTTAGGTAAGGCTCGAATCTCGTTTAGTAGTAAAGTCTAAAGAATTTCGTAAAGTAAGCGCTATATAGATCGACTAAGATTTACTTCTATAATAAATATAGTAAGCTTTAGAGCGGTGAGGGATATAGTGAATACTTAAGGCGTGTGTCGAACTTCTTCTATAGTATCTTCTAGTAATATATAGGCTAATATCGACGAGCTCTTAGTGGATATCGCTTCTAAAATTACCGATTTATCGATATTAGAAGTTAGAATAGTAGAATCCGGCGTATCAAGAGTAACTAATTCTTCTTCTCTTTCTTCTTCTCTTTCTTCTTCTTCGATATCTTACTCGATATCTTACTCGATATCTTCGTTATCTACTTAGTTAAAGATAAGTACTAGGATATTATAGTTATCTTAGTCGGATAGTAAACCGAGTTCTTTATCGTCTTCCTTATTCTCGTCCGCATTCTTATCCAGCCTATTTATAGGTAGGATATTAGTAAGAATGTTATTAATAGTCTTAAGAGTATCCACGCCTATTAGGTTATAATTAGCGTTATTCTCCTTATCGCTACTAATATCGCCGGTATTAGTAGTATTATTAGGACTATCCGGAGCTAGTAAATCGCCGTCGTCTAGATCTTAGTAGTTTAACTAATCTAGGATCTCGGAGTTCTTAGCCTTATAAGCCCTTAAGAATAGTTTACCACGGCTAGCTAGGGGAGGACGCTATACTAGGAGAGGCGAAGGTAGTAGCTGAAAGTCTCGCTTATTAGGAATCGATACTAGAATCTACTATTAGGCTTAAGCTTCGCGAATAATAATAGGAGGAAAAATAGGTCTACCCTTAAACGAGTCTTTTAAACAAGGCATAGTAATAAAACGGAAGGTGTGGTTATAAATTCATTGCAAATTATAAATTCAGTCTTCGTAAATTATTTCGTAATAGCCTTATTCAGCGATATTCCTTCGCACGCCTCCCCTACTATAAAACGCTAAAACACGCTAAAACACGAGGTCACGTAGTAAAATAATAACGCACTCTATAATATATTACCTTCTTGAATTACTTATAGAGGTAAATCTTATTTCTTTCTTTATTCGTATCGTGTTTTATAGGCGGCGGGGTGTAATTTTTATTTATATTTTTCTTCGTTTTTCCCTTCGTTTTTCCCTTCGTCTTTTCCCTTCGTTATTTCCGCTCGTCTTTTTTTCCCGTTAGCTTAGTAAATTCTGCTTCCTTACCTATAATCTCTTATTCGAAGCTGCCGGCAGGTTAGTAAATTCTATCCTCTACCTATTTAATATACCGTGAATAAGGTATACTAATATCTTTAAGTATTATAGCGAACGTAGCTAGGAATCCTAATCCCGTATTTCGTTTTCCGGTATCCCGCTAAAACTCAGAGTAATATAGTAGTAAGAGATTCCGTGAAGATAACCTGGATATAAGAAGTAATACAGAAAATCCTTTCGAATCCGATAAGAAGATATAGAGGGGCTCTTATATAATTAGAAAGGATTCACTAACTATAATCCTGCTAGATAAAGACTATATTAGCTCTACTCTATAGTCTATTCAGGTTAGTTCTCTCTTACCTCTATTTAATTCGAACCGTTTCTAATATTTACTAGCCTAGTAATTCTTAGGAAAATACCCATAAAAAACGGAAGTTTATAATAACTAGCCACCCTGCCTAGTCCGAAGAAATCCGCCCGTTTTTTTAACGCCTCGAAAAGAGTATATATAAAGCTTTTCTCCTTATACTTAATTACGACTAAAAAGAAAGCGTGTTTAACCTCTACCTGGCTAAGTTTAAGAACACGGACTACGAATAGATTTACGAATAGGGCTTAAGACGATACTAGGGGAACTGCACGACTTAGAAGTCTTGAACGTTAAGTGTAATTAAGGTAATTATTCCTTACCTTACCACCTTTAATTTAGATATTCACTAATATAAATTACACAGGACTATATTACTAAGCTCCGCGTGAAAGAGAATAACCGATTAGGCGTCTAGAAAGACTATTATCGTATATATAAATTCCTTAGCTAAATATAGAACCCCGATCTCTTCGAGGAGCTTTTTAGCTTCTATAAAATATAGATTAATATCTCGGATAGTGATAAGAAAATAAAGCGTTAATGCCTTTATATATTCACTTAAGATCGACTATATCTTTTAAATATACCTAGGTATTCTAATATTCTATAGGAATATTCACCGAAACGTGTAATATTATAAAACACTACCTGGATTACCTTAATAATCTTATAGCCGGCACCGTAACTATCCTAGTCCAGGACTAGAAATAGGTGCTTACTAGATAGAATAAGATTCCCTATATAAGCACTACTAAGGGTCTACGTCTCAAGGATCTATCTTTAGTAAAGGATTATCCCTATACTAAGCCGCGTAGGATAGAGAAAGATAACCGCACTTGCCTAGACGCTAAGGACGATCCAGGAAGCTTTAAGCCTAATAAGAGCTTTTGTGCGATAATAAACCCAGCTAAGACGTGATAGATAATTCCTTCGGTTATATTCTGATAATAGTTTGCTTTATAGGCTAGCGTCGGCGACTATAAATTATAATAGGGCGTTTTTCTCTTTAGCGTTCTAATATATATCTATTATAATCTGCTATACTTTTATTTTTACGACTTCACGACCTTACGATATAGCTATGAGTAGAAGACGACGGGATTTATAGTAAGTTAGCCCTCTCTATTTAATATATTCTACCTTACTTATTTACTAGACTATCCAGAGCTTAATAACTCTGCTTAATGTATTTACTATAAGATAGAGAGTTCTATATACTATGAATTAATATCTTCTCTACTCTATAGGTTCTTTATAGACTATTCCTTACCTCTTTTAGGATATTCCTTAGCTTAGCTAGATATTCCTCGCCTCTCCTACGATACTCCTTAGCTTAGCTGGATATTCCTTAGCTTAGCTTAGATATTAAGCTAAGGATATTCTAAAGCCGCTAGGTATATTATTATAATAAGGTATCGTACTTACTCTTAATTAGTTAATCTTACTTACTATTTATCGTAATAACTTTAAGCAATAACCTGCCTACCTAAGTAAGTAACCGTATTATTCCTCCCTTAGTACCTATCAGAGACTCAGAGTAATAGAGCTTCTAGTATATATATCCTTAGTTTTAAATCCATTAGATATTCTCCTTTATATCTTCTTTATTACCGCTATCTCTAGTAATATTATATAGCGCTAAGCTTATACTAACTTCTTTAGTATCACTAGTAAGTAGAATTCACTATTCTATAGACCTAGACGTGGTATAGATATTAGTTCTTATTATCTGGATAATATCTAAAGCTTATCGTGATTCTAAGTTAAGTTTACTAACTATTACTCCAAATAAACAGATATTATATCTAATAATAGTCTCCCTAACGTTAAACTTCTAGTTAACCCGGGAGTAAAGGAGTCCTAGTCCCTCCTATACCGCTAGTTTAGTAACGCTATTAGAGGCGTTAAGGGTAAGCCCACCACAGCTCTATTTCTTTAAGCTATAGTAGTTTTTAGCGGCGAACCTAAGCTACCCCTAGCTACTCGTAAAGGTATTTACTAATTTACCTAGAAGAGCGAGGTTTACACCGCGTGTGTCGAGGAGTAACGTAAAACCGCTAAAGCTTTTAGCTTTAAGATACTTACTAACGATAGTAAATAAGTGGATTGACTAAACACTAATAAGCGTATAATAGCCTTAGAAATCCTTCGCTAGAAGTCGGATAAAAGAGGATATACCCCTAGTACTGCTAACGCCAAGAAAAAGGATAAGAAAAGCAATACTAGATTAAGTATACTAAAAAGGGTTATAGCTAGCAGAATTACTAAGTCCTCGAAGGGCGCTAAGATAAAGAAGGGAGCCCCGAAGTAAGTTAGAGAGGATATAGAAGAGGAATAGGAGATAGATATCGATAGTAAGCACTTAGAAATTTAGTTAGTAAATCGGCTATAATATACTAACTTATATCTATTAGATAGAGAAGAGGAGGCCGATAAGGCCGATAATAATAAGGGTATAGATAACGGATAAGAGGACTTATAACGACGGTAATATTAGTGAAGAAAAGGCATCTAAGGATATTAATAATAACACTATCGCCTAGTAGATAATAATATATCTAAAGATTCACTATCTCTACGATATATCCTACTATATACTTCGTCTATATCTTACTTAGGATATAGTTAATATTAGAGCTTATAATAGAGTAGGGAGAGCCGGGCAGGGTTATAGGTGGTATTAGAATTCGATGGCGGTTTACTTAGGGATTTACTAATAAACTAGTATACCGATCTAAGGAGTATAATAAGCAATTTTCTCTTCTTCTACTAAACTCCTAGTATAATAATACCGAAATATATATTAGCTTCGTAGTTATTCACTACCCGTTAAACTAATATATACTAGAACTAGGACGTATTAACTAAGGGAGATATATAATATACGAAGATAACTATCTCTCCTAATAAAAATATTAGCTCTAGGAACTTATATCTTCTAAAGTAATATACTGTATACTATATATTTTTTATAAGACGTATATTTAGGGAAGTGTGATATATCTTAGAAGATACGACGCATTTATGCCGAGAGGTATATCGTGCTTAGTTATAATCTTAATTAAGTGACTTTATATTAGTTAAAATACGGTATATCGGAGACCTGTTTTTTAAGACATAGCCACACTATAAAGATATTAATTCACCAAACAATAGACCTTTTTTATATAATATTTACCGTAATAACAGGTCACACCAACGCAATAGGCGTGTAATCTATATATAACCATATCCCTTTAAGACACTATATCCATACCTAACAGGCTGTTTTAGAAATGTCCAAAACCCCCCTAAACCCGGGTAGGTATCCTTGTGGCTGTGCTATGGCGTGTAAGGTACCTAAGCTCGAGATCTGTGGAGTACCTACGAGCACCCTCGTACACGTGTACATCACTTGATTAACGCAACATAGGTACCTTAAGGTACCTTAGGTAACATAGCGGTGTCCCTGGTACGAATATGTGCCGATGTTCAACGGCTTCTAGGCATTACCTCTTATAACCCGGATTCCTGCACAGATACAAAGTCGAAAAGTCTCTTAACACCACTCTCGTCATGCCACCTCGGCTTGGTCCCTCCCATCCTCCGCTGCCTAGCTTAGAACCAAACCCCGGTCTTTCTGCAGCATCTGGCCCAGAACTTGCAGCCCCTGGGCGGTATGACTGTTGGCCGGGGCCTTCTTCGGGAATTCAACAAGGGCCGCACGCAACGCGGCAATGGCGGCGTTTCCATAAAACTGGATGAACCGCCCCTCGTGCCCGTCGATCATCGCTTTCAGGACCGTAAACTGAGTATTCGAAATGAGCTGCGGTGGCGAGTTGACGATGGACGCCATGGCCTTCCAGTAATTGGTGGGCGGGTACGGATTCGGCTTGGAGGCCTTGCTGAAGTCCCGCAACGCGATGGCGGCGAACCCGGCGCCGAGGCCCGTCATCCTGTCGGCGTGGGCCTGGTCCGAGATCCAGTGTCCGTCCTCCTTCTTCCAGCCTACCGCGGCACGACCGGCCGTCGTCTTGTCGTCGCCTCTAGCGCCGAACAGGACGGGACAGACGATGCGGAACTTGGCGATGAGGATGTCGATCATGGGCTTGCCGCGCCAGTGGAAATCCTTGTTGGAGAAGATGTGGGCCGTCACGATGCCGATGGGTTCGGCCGATTTCGGGTTCGCGCCGACCTCGCTTGTAAACTGGTGGATGATGGCTTTGGATAGGTGGCTCAACAGGTAGATGAAGACCGCCGGTAGCTTGTCTCCGTTGTGGACAGCGCCCTCGGCTGGCTCTCGCTTGTCAGCAACGAAGAGGCTCGCGTCTATCGCATCACTCGGGACGGTTCCATCGAGAGACTCTCGTAGAGTTATCGTTATGGTGTTAATCTGCACATGGGGTGGTCCCGGTCAGCTAAGTTCGCACGGAAGCGTGAGAGGAGTCTGATACTAAATACTTACGGGCTGGGAATTGGCGCCCCTGCCAGCAGTGAGCTGCCCCATGGCCTTGCGAACCTGGCGCCGCATGTCCCCAAGTTTTCCCTTGAGTGGAGAGCCGGGGATCTTTGACTGACGATCGAGCTCTTTTCGCACTCTCTTGAGCTCCTGGTGTATCTGGACGTAGCGATCCGACTGCATTGACGCGGCAGGAGGCGGTTGTCCGGACTGGCTCTCCGGACTGGCAGCGGGGGCTGCGACGGCCGGTTGTTTTAAGGCTGTCGACGATTGCACACCGTTCGATGGTTGTGCGAAGGGGGAAGGTTTCTGGAGAGTCTGTCGTTGTGCTGCTGGAGCGAACAATGATGGTGTCTTGGCAGTAGTTGAAGGTTGAGTGGCGGCAGCGAAGGCATTTTGCAGGCTAGGGGCAGAAGTCGTTGGCTGCTGCTTCGCGGCCGCCTGGCCAGTCAACCCATTGACCGGGGCTGCTGTCTGGCTATTCGGTGCTGTCCCTTCTTTTTGTTGCTGGGGCGGTTGCTTTTGCTGTGGCTGCTGCTGCTCTGGTGCTTTTGGGGGTGCAGGTTGAGGAGGTAGCTGGGGAATCTTCTGGGCTTGGAGTTTCCTCAGCCTCTCCTGCTCCTCTCTAACGGCCTTTTCGGCACGTATCCGATCTTCTTCTTTCCGCCGAAGCTCCGCTATTCTCTTCTGCTCCTCTTCTATCCTCCTTTGTTGTTCTTGAAGCTCGTGCAACTCTCCGATGCGAATCGCATTGAGCCTGACCCTCTCATGTTCGATTCGGGCCTGTTCCAGGGCTTCGCGGTGACTTATTTCCGTGTTCCTATCATCGGCGAGGTAGTCTGAAAGGAAGCGCCGCTCTGGAGGGGATTGCAGCGGGCTGCTATATTTTCTTGTGTTGGGAGAGGCGCGAGCCATTCTCCAAAGGCGATCTGGACTGTCTAACGGAATCGATAAAGACGCGATGTGGAGTGAGGGCGGTCGACACAATGGCTAAGGGATTGGTGCTCCGGAGCTATATCAAGGTGAGTGCGTCGAGTGGGCGGTAGCTTCGCAGGTATTGAAAGAAGTCGGGAGACGACCCTGAAAGAAACTAAAAGGAAGCCTTCAAGGTGGGAAAGTTTCGCTTCCAGGTTGTTAGCGACGATGAGACATTGAAAATAGTCAGCGATCAATGGGACGAAAGAGACTGATGATTCCGTACGTGGTGTTGCATATCTGGAGGGGATAAGCTACAACCACGGACTCCTACGTACAGCAAACCACGACCCGATAGACGCAGTACGTAGTAGGCAATGTCAATTCACGATACTGTCCATACTCCATACTATATTTGGGACCGATGGGCTCGGACGTTTGGTTGGGGCGATTAAGAGTCGGAGGAGGAAAAAGAATTCACCGAACATGTCCATGGACATTGACGCCGGTGCCGATGTTCCGAGGACAGGTACTGTGGTTTCAGGTACATAGGTAAGGTAAGGTAGATACCTACCTAAGGTAAGGTCGGTAGCCGTGGCTCACAAAAGCTACGCGGCAATCGTTACAGTTTCACCCAATATTGGCAGTGTATAAGGTACGGAGTGTTAAGAAATCCTCGTAACTTTTGTGGAATGATTGTAGAGTACATACTACATAGTACCTTAATTAGTACTGATTGACGGTTACAGCGATGGCAGGTTACGAAATTGGTTCATAGGAACAAGACACTTGTAGCACGGAGTCATACGGAGTACGGAGTACAACGTAGTCCTTCGGCGTGAGAAACGCAGTTGAGGACGTAAAAACTCGGCAGAATCGCGTCCAGCAAAAGGACGAGAACATCAAAGTAAAATGGGAAGAGCTCATTATAGTACGGAGTAATAGTTTTCTCGGGTGAATCCATGCCTACACTGTTTGTGGCTGCAAGGGGCTAGCCAGCGGGGACTAGGCCCACCCTAACGCCGAAAGATCGACTATTCACAGAGCAGGACGAACTATCCATAGAAACTACCTGAATAGGGGAAACGAGCAAACGGCAAGTCTAATTTCCTTGTTGAAAGGTACCATATTTATCTACCTTTTATCATACAATGAATGTCGTTCAGGCAACGAACGATGACTATTGCTGGATTGTGACCCGAGGCTCATGTTACTCTCGTGTTTTCTTTAGAATTCTAGACAAGGCATCGGTAGAGTTGCTCCAAGTACGGGTAGAAATCTTGTTTTAAGTCAAAATGGGAGAAAAGAAAAGGGAGACGGAACCTATATGACTCGTTCAACCTTCGTCTCTTGTCCTCTGGAAATGCCTTCGTATGTACTTGTAGCAGGTGACGAGATGAAGAACACAGTTTTAAGCTTTTCGTTTTTGGGGATCAAACTGTCATGCTCAGGTGCTGTTACAGCTAATACTTCTCGGCCCAGATGTACCTCATACCTACCCATAGTAGCTACCTTGGGCGGTGGTCTTGGAACCAGACACTATTGTATCCACCAAATCCCCCCTCCACCGGTGGTCGGGCTCAACCTTGGGCCGCACGTACCCCCCACAACAGTGTGCCACTAAAGAGACCAGCTACGGCAACTAGTACCCTGTCCCAAACTTTCCTTTCCCCGTTACGACTTCCTTGACTGGCTTCCTTTCCCCATCCTGACCTACCCCTACCCTTCACCTTCTATCTTCTCCCACTCTACTCGTTCTTCCATCTCTCCCTCCCTCTTCACTTTCCCTCTCGAGTCCATCATCTACCGCATCGCGCGTCTGTCCTGGTCTCTACACTCCTTGCTTTGGGCTCTACTGAGCTCAAGCTCGCTCCCTGCTATTTTATTTTTCTTTCCAGCCCATCCTTCGATCCCATTGCACATTGCCCCATCGACGACGGCCTGCCAACTCTTGCACCACGCAACCAAAATCCATCTATCCACAGGCTCCATTACAACATAACCAAAACCCTCCCTTGATCATCACAGTCCTCAATCATCAGCAGTTGTCCACTGTCGTTCGATCTCTAGCTCGGTTACTTGCTTACCTTTCGTAGCTACCCTACAATTCCCGGTTTCGAACCAGACACCAAACAAACCATCTTTCCCACGAAGCCTCCGGCCCACCGACCCCTCGTCGTATCCATCACCCCCTTTTTTGTCCAACTGCCGTCAAGAACTCTTCCTCTCTCTTGATCTCCCGCGTCTCTCCCGCCTGAGAGTTAATATATATCTTGGTTCTTGACGTGCACGCTTTGCGTCGCTCTTTGAGTTGCACTTCGTCATGGATCAACAACAGCACCAGCCGCAGCAAGACAGGGCTCAGGGGCCGCCGACGAGCGGTGTCCATGGTCCTGCTGGCCGTCGGCTTCACATTGCCCATCGCAGAAGCCCTTCGGAGCTCACGCCGCTGGTGAGCATGTTCCAGAACCCTGGGAGTAAGTCACACCACCCACCCACGATCTCATCGAATCCCCCTTCTTCTCCATCGATTTCAGCTAGATCACTAGCACTTCCTGCTCCTCGGCAGTCACCACAAGTCCCTTCTCCCCCTTTTGCCCTTATTCCCTCTTTTTTATCCCTTTCTTCATTTCTATATCCCATCATCGCCATGATCTGTTCTCCAACCACCATCAAGGAGGACAATGCTGACGCATGTGCCATCTTCCGGCTCCTGTAGTGGAACATATCGCCATCCAGCAGCAGATCGAGCTCCTGCAACAGCAGCAGCAACAGATCCAGGCTACCCAGCAGCAATACATGAACATGGGGATGATCCCTCCCACCCAACAGCTTGGCCCCGGCGGTGCTTTCAATCCTTTGCAGCCAGCCATGCAGGCATTCCAGTTCCCACAACAAATCCCCCAGCAGAACGTCTCCATGGCCCAGCCTTCTCAGCCCATGTCACATCGCCGTAACCAGTCTGCCCTCCCGAATATGGGCATGGGTCCTCCCCCGGCCCCCTCTTCGGGTGCGTCCGGCTCGGCCTACCTCGACCCGCAGGGTATCCAGGGCCGAGACAACGCCGGCGGTCGCGGCGGCCGTGGCGGTGGCTCCGGCGGCGGTCATCAAAGACGGCACTCGTTAGCGCTTGCAGACGCTAAGAAGGCTGCAGACCTCGCTCAACAGAAGCGCACAACCTCGGGCTTCCAGTTTCCTGGTCCCAACGCCACCCCCGAAAACGGCGCCGAAGCTGCCAGCAGCTCGGCTCAGCTCGAGCAACAGGTATCTCATGGACCGCCCTCTGGCATTGGCCGTGGCCGTGGAAGCGGACATGGCCGGAGCCAGAGCATGGCCGTTGGCGCTAGCGGAGGTGCCCGCGGTCGCGGCGGTGCCCTCGGCTTGAATTCCGACTCGACCGGGCATTCCAACGATTTCCCACGTCGCGGGTCCATGGGTCACGCCAGGACTGGTTCCCGCAACTTCGAGGGAAATTGGCGCAATCAGAACCAAAACCAAGGCCAAGACCAGGCCGGAAACCAAGGCCAACAAGCCTTCCAGCCGGGCCATCGCGCTCGTGGCTCTATGAACCAGTCCATTTCTGGCTTCCAGTTCCCCAACCAGGGCCAGCTCATGCAGATTCCGGGACAAATGATGCCTTTCCAAATGTACCCAGGACAGCCCCTCAACCCTCTGCAGCTCGGCCAGCTGCAGGCTCTCCAGGCTGCGCAGATGAACGGTCAGCAGTTTGTTGGCCTGCAAGGAAGTCAGCATGCGCCCCAGCTTGGCGGCCATCCGCAATCGCAACAGCAGCAGCAGCGGAAGACCCTTTTTACTCCTTACCTGCCGCAGGCGACCCTGCCGGCTCTCCTTGGCGACGGCCAACTCGTATCTGGCATCCTCCGCGTGAATAAGAAAAATCGCAGCGATGCCTACGTCTCCACGCAGCACGGTCTGCTTGACGCCGATATCTTCATTTGCGGTAGCAAGGATCGCAACCGTGCTCTTGAGGGTGATCTCGTAGCCGTCGAGTTGCTCGACGTCGACGAGGTCTGGTCGCAAAAGCGGGAGAAGGAAGAAAAGAAGAAACGTAAAGACATCACCGACACCAGATCCGGTTCGACCAACGGACAGAATCCGTCGTCCACCAACCCCGATGACGGCAACCCGGCGGAAGGAGGCCTCCGCCGCCGAGGCAGTCTCCGCCAGCGCCCTACCCAGAAGAAGAACGATGACGTTGAGGTGGAGGGACAGAGCCTCTTGCTTGTTGAGGAGGAAGAGATCAGCGACGAGCACAAGCCCCTATATGCCGGTCACATTGTTGCCGTCGTGGAACGTGTTCCCGGTCAGATGTTCTCCGGCACTCTCGGCCTGCTCCGCCCAAGCAGCCAGGCCACCAAGGAGAAGCAGGAAGCCGAGAGGGCCGCCCGCGATGGTGGCCCTGGCCGGCAAGCCGACAACCGATCACATGAAAAGCCCAAGATTGTCTGGTTCAAGCCTACGGACAAGCGCGTGCCGCTCATCGCCATCCCCACCGAGCAGGCGCCCAGGGACTTCGTGGAGAAGCATCAGCAGTATGCGGACAGGATCTTTGTTGCCTGCATCAAGCGCTGGCCGATCACCTCTCTGCATCCCTTTGGCACTCTCGTGGAGCAGCTTGGTCGCATGGGAGAGATCAAAGTTGAGACAGATGCTCTCCTGCGCGACAACAACTTTGGGTCTGACGAATTTTCCGATGCCGTTTTGCGCAGCGTCAACCTACAAGACTGGTCTCTCGCCAAGGAAGATGAGACAGCTCTCGCTGCTCGCCGCGACTTCCGCGACGAAAAGGTGATCACTCTCGATCTCGACGGGGCTGGCGAACTCGGAAACGCCTTCCACGTCAAGACGCAGCTGGACGGTAAGATCGATATCGCTATCCACGTTCCTGACATCACCCACTTTGTGAAGGCCAACTCCCTGGTCGACCGAGAAGCCAAGAAGCGCGGTACAGCCGTCCACTTGGTCGACCGGACATGTGCCATGCTTCCTCCCAAGATTGGCGCGGAGGTATGCGCCTTGCTTCCCGACCAGGAACGTCTGGCTGTCACCGTCCTGTTCCGCGTCAACCCTATCAACGGCAGTGTCGCCGAGGGCGACGCTTGGGTTGGCAAGAGCATCATCAAGAGCTCTGGAAAGATCACACTGCAGGAGCTTGATGACGCCCTCGGCGGCCAGTCTGAGTGGAAGCACCCGGCCATGCAGCTCAATGACGTGCAAATTCTGAACGTAAGTCTCATCCATTCTTCACGGCTCAAGGACGAAGGCGCGCGGATGACTCGGGTCCCGTTGCTAACACCATCACCAACAGGCCGTTGCGGAGAAGTTTAGAGAGGACCGGCTGGGCGCCGGCGGCGAGCCCATTGCGCCTCTGAGGCTGCTCCAGCAGCTCGACGACGAGAACATCCCCATCAAGCTTAACGTTTTTGACTCTTCCCCGGCGACCGAGCTGGTGGAGGAGCTCATGCACAAGGCCAATATCCACATCGCGCAGCTCATTGCCAAGGGTCTCCCCGAGAAAGCGCTGTTGCGTCGGCAGGGCCCGCCCAACGCCCGGCGGCTGCAGACCATCTCGGAACGCATGAACGCGCTCGGGTACGAGGTCGATACGTCTTCCAGCAGCGCGCTGCAGAACAGTCTCTTTAAGGTCGACGACGCGGATATTCGCAAGGGCATGGAGACGCTTGTGCTCAAGTCTATGCAGCGCGCCAAGTATTTCATCGCGGGTAAGACGGCACAGCATCTTTGGCCGCATTACGTGTTGAACGCGCCGCTCTACACCCACTTCACCTGTCCCACTCGACGCTACGCGGACATTATTGTACACCGGCAGCTTGAGGCAGTCCTCTCGGAGGGTACGATGGAGTACAGCGAGGACGTCGAGAGCCTAGTTAAGACGACGGAATCGTGCAACACGAAGAAGGACTCGGCGCAGAATGCACAAGAGCAGAGCATCCACGTCGACTCCTGCCGCAAGATGGACAAGAAGCGCCAGGAGGCGAACGGCGATTTGGTCACGGAAGGCGTGGTGATCTGCGTGTATGAGTCGGCGTTTGATGTCTTGATCCCAGAATGGGGCTTCGAGAAGCGGGTGCACTGCGATCAGCTGCCTCTTAAGAAGGCTGAATTCCGCAAGGAGAAGCGGGTCCTGGAGTTGTACTGGGAGAAGGGAGTGACCAGCTCGGCGTACGTGCCTGAGGACGAGCGGCCCAAGGCTGCGGCATCGCAACGGATGTCCAACGCCCGGGCGGCAGCGCGGCAGACGGAGGAAGCGGAGCGGGCTCGGAAGGAGCGCGAAGAGGCGGCACGGAAGCAGACGGAGACGGGCACCATCTCGACTGACGACGTGGACGCTCTGTTCGACGACGACGACGATAATATCTCGGACGTGACGGAAGCCATGGCGGGTGCGTCGCTGGCGGAGCGGCCGACGCAGAGCGTGCCGGGCTCGCCAACGCGGGCGTCCTCGGGGGCGAAACCGTTGCAGCGCACCCGGTCGGATTCCAAGGTGCCGGTGGCGGAGGCGCCTGAGACTCGGCTGACAGACAAGGAGAAGTACCTGAAGCTGTTCAAGCTCCGGGAAGAGGGCGGCGACTACATCCAGGACGTCACGGAGATGACGAGGGTTCCGATTATTCTCAAGACGGACCTTAGCAAGAGCCCACCGTAAGTTTTTTTTTTTTTTTTTTTTTTTTTTTTTTTTTTTTTTTTTCCTTCTCTCAACCTTTGCTGACACCGTGCCTACGTCTAGTTGCCTGACTATCCGGTCTCTCAACCCTTACGCTCTATAAAGAAATATTGAAGCATGACCTCCGGGTTCGCAATCGCTATTCGTCCGAAAATACAGTCATCTCAGCTTAGCGTGCTTGGCCTATAGCGGTCGACAGCGACAGCGATGTGCAAAAGGTTATATCCATGGACAGACAGAGAGGCGGTGTAGCAGAAGCATTGGTACGTCGAGGCACGAGGAGAGGAGGCGCTTGTCGTCAGTAGGGAAATAGCATCGGGCGGCGGATAGCATGGGGCGGCAGATGGAAGCTTGCCATTGATGGGAGGTTACTTGCAGAAGAAGTACATCATATTATGCTAGGGCGCGCGTTCATGCATCCATATCTGGAGTCAGCAAGTAGCGGGCCATACCTACGGGGGGGCGGGGCGGGGCGGGAGAAATGGCGGTAGTAAAGTGGAATAGTCATTTATCTATTTAGTCGCAAAGGGGAAAGAAAGCCAAAGTTGACAGGCATGTGTCTATGGGATTATTTTGGGTGATTCGTGAAGGCCTTGCCGTCTCCTTCATAGACGCGCCGTTGCTCAGGGAGATGCTTGGTATAACGTTGGGACGATGAAGACGTAGCCATAGCCAGCCGTAGCCGTAGCCGTCTCGGGTCTAACGAGCACAGCACGTGGGTAAGGGTACATGTAGCGATCTACTTCGTATGACGGAATACAGATGAAGGACAGTCGGCGCGTGGGATGTCGCGAGCAGAATAAAATGGTACGTACCTAGGCATTCCCGTTGTTGTGCGGCTTTATCCACTACACTGCTCTTTCTCCTTTTCTACGAAGGAAACGAAAGAGAAAAAGAACGGTGGGGTGGCGTTTGACAGGTTTGGGGGTCCGAGGATCAAGGGGCACGGAGGCGCGGAGCTGCTGGCTGGTTCAGGTATCGGGTGTCGGATGTCGGGGGGCTTCGGGGGATTTTGGCCAGGGTCTGCGACGGTCAAGACTTTTGGTGGCCTTGGGAAGTGTCTCGGTTGCTCTGTAAGCCGGTCGGACAACAGCCACAGGGGCGTCAGAGTGTAGTATTGAATAGGCAAGGAACAGGGATGAGAAAGGAGGACCCAGAATACAAGCTTAAGCTCAAGCTCAGGAGGCCCATTGGGG